GAAGCTCTTGCCTGTGCTGGTTGGCAGCGCTGCCTTTGGCCTGTGTGAAGCGGCACACGCGGAGCCAGTGGAGGGTAAAGCAAAACGTCTCAATCAGGGGCAGGAAGTGAGAAAGACAAAGAGGAAGACATTGGGTCCCAAGATGGCCGCCAAGGCCACGCCCACTGTGACCTCACTTCCTCCCTCACTTCCTGTCCATGCCCGAAGGTTCACCCAACTCCCTCCATAGCATCTTGGGCTGGGAGAAACAAGCCATCAACACCTGAGGTTTCACAGCCATTAACAATCTGGACTATACAGCCGATCCCTTGGGACTGGAATGGCACCACCCATTCGTGGTCGCCCTGTGTATCTGCACGCTGACTTTTGCTGTGTCATTTTCCTTCACCAACTGAAGTCTTCACGATGCCATTGGCCGACAGCCTTGCTCTTGTCTTGCAGGAGGCAGAGGGGGACCCGGTGGCAGCAGCCCCAGGAACGAGGGTGAGGGCCAAGAAGGTGTGTATGGTGGTTCCGCCATCTTTGTTTGTGTCTCTCCTATGTGCTGATGGAATGGCGCCAGGACACGTTGGGGACCTGAGCTATGGTGTCTGCCTGATCATGATTGTGAGGCTGTTGGCAGGCCTGGGATGGAGCGCTGTGGTGGACCCCTTCCCACCCCTCACTACATAAAGCAGGATGAGTTTAATTGGGCTCCAGTCCATGGGTGCAGGAGCAGATGTTGATCCTCCTCTTGGGTCTGGGATTCTTGGGCTTCCAACACAGAACCACATGTTCTCTCCTACCTGTTGCTCGGGTATCGCACTGGTCCTTTCTCTTTTTCTAAGGCACAAGAGAATAAAGATTAAAAGAATTCCTTTTAAAAACGGTAAAATAAGAAGCTGGGGGTGGTGGCCCACGCCTGTGATCCCCACACTCTGGGAGGCTGAGGCAGGAGTGGTGGCAAGTTCCAGCCCTTTCCCCCCATTTCTAAATGCAAAGTTGCAGAAATAAAAGGGGTTAGTTCTGAGGTATAGTTCATGGCGAAGGCCCTGGGTTCGATTACTCATACTGCAAAACAGATCGGGAAAGAAATCCGTGCAAAGGGCCAGCAGCGAGCATCATGAAGACGTAGTGGTTTTTGTTGTTGTTGAAACTTCGCAAGGGCGGTTGCCATTGGGAATCTCTTCGTTTTCCACAAGCTCCTCGGAGGTGCGTCCCGAGCACGGGCCGTGACCGCGTCCCCTCTGATTGTCCACAGATCAGCCCCAGGGCGTGGTTCCCGGGATCGTGGGTGCTGTCGTAGTGGCCGTGGCCGGAGCCATTTCCAGCTTCATCGCGTACCAGAAGAAGAAGTTGTGCTTCAAAGAAAACCGTAAGCTGAGACTTCTTCTGTGCATGGCTGACTGATGTTAGTGCTTTCTTTAAAACCAACAGCGAAGCTCACAAAGGCTCGGCCGGCGCCTGCTCGCTGACACCTCCTGGACTCACTAACTCACCGCGTTCTGACGTGGAGCTTCCACCCAAGCGTTGCTTCGCTGTGATTAATGAAATAAAATTGCCGGTGACTCAGTTCACCACGGGGGATTCCTATGGATAGAGGCGGGAACGAAGGTGCACAGGAATGTGCGAATGTGTATATTTAAAAAAAAATTAGAGTGAAAGGGCACATGACCTTGAACCCCCGTCACAATCCTCCCGGCTTTGCAAACACTCATCCCACCATCCTGGCCGCTTTCTGCAGCAGCTCTGGAGTCCTCTTTCCTGAGGGTCTTTCTCCGGTGGGATCAAAAATACAATGACTGCTGCTGCCGAGTGCCATCCAGCGGAAAAGCAGCTCCTAAACACACAACACTGTATCCTCGTCCCCCTCAGTCACTGGATCCAGCACCGTGCAACTTCCGGCTCCTCCCCAAGGTCAAAATGACCAGCAGAGGTCAAGATGTTGAGTGCATTCAGGACATCGAGGCAGCCAGGACAGCGCGGCTAAAGACCCTCAGGAAAGAGGACTCCAGAGCTGCTGCAGATGGCCAGGATGGTGGGATGAGTGTGTGCATAGCCGGGAGGATTTCGAGGGGGTTCATGACAATGTGCCTTTTACTATAAGATTTTTTAATTTAAACACACAGATACTTTTTGATCAGTGCTTGTAGGTTGCACAATATTTATGAGGACTAAAACCAGGAAATCCGCTAATGGAGAGACAGTGTGTGGAAAATCCTTCCTTTTGTAAGTCACTCATTTTTATTTACGACTGGCATCCACAGCATTAGGGTAAGACCGGAGGCCTCCATCTTGTGTCCTCCACCTAGGAGAATTAAATAAAAACACAGATGTGCCGATTTCCTTTTCTTACTAGCAGCAAATCCCAGCTGGCGCTGGGCAGCTTCTGCACGGGATATAAAACTGAAAGGAGAATTCAGAGAATGACATTTTTATAACCCTGTCTCTGTGGATGTTGGGAACTCATTCAAAAGTTCCTGTGTTATTTAGGGGTTTGTCCAGCGTCAGGAAATCCCGCTGTTGTGGGGGTTTTTGTTTGTTTGTGGTTTTGTTTTGGTTTGGAGGAAATCCTGCCCTCCTGCACGTGGCTGGTGTTCACACATCTCTGCACTGGTCTCTTTGGACCTTGTCTTGATGCTTTTGTGTCCACCGAGGGTTGAGCGTTGGTGCTTTGTGGGGACACCACTGGCCCCAGATTCTTCGTTTTGCAGAGCTTTGCGGGGTGCCGGTTGTGTGGCCTCTCAGCCCCTTTGGGTCTTCTGCCTCTGTCATCCGAGCCGTTGACCGTGCGGAGCCCACACATGGCTCTCTAGGCTTCTAGGAGATTCCGTGAGAGTTACGTAGATGCCGGGGGAGCATTCAGGCCCCAGGGGTGGATTTACGCGGCCACCTCAGAACTGGACCTCCACAAACAGAGTCAGATCCTGAAGGTGCACATCCAGCATAGCTTTTAGATCCAGAGATGTAAAGTAAATTGTGGGCGTCTCCCCCCATTTCTTAGGGTGGGCATTTCCTCAGCAGATCATGCGGTGCTGTTTGCTGGGTTTCCTTGGTCTGAGGTAGGGTCCTACTATGTAGTCCAGGCTGGCTTTGACCACACCACGTGGCCCAAACTGGCGCTGAACTCACAGGGACCCTCCTGCCTCAGCCTCCAGCATGCTGGGATGACCGGTGTGCCCCGCTCTGCCAACATGATGTCCTGAAAATCCTCAGTTGACCCCAACTCAATCTTGGGGTCGCATCTTACCTTCTCTTAGCTCACGCCTGTGCTTTGTGAGCCCTGAGGAGAGTGGGGTGTTGTTTCACACTCACACCCCCAGACACACATTGTGGTGAACGCCCCGATAGTCAGAGGGGGCTGGGATTCACCGGAGATTTGGGGCCCGCGTTGTAGGAGGAAAGGCCAGAGCGATCGTTCCCCACCGGCGTCGGTCTGCTCTGGTGGGTGCATCCGTCGCTTCCCAGGTTGAAAACACCCTGTCTGGGCAGTGGGGCCGTGAGCTTGAGCGCCGGTCGTTTTTCCCAAGCATTTTCTCTAGATTTGGATCCTTTTCTCTTGCAGTGCTTCCTAGTTTGCTTTTTATTTATTTATTTAGTTTTTGACTTTTTGAGACAGGTCTGGCCTTGAGCTCACTGTGTAGCCCAGGCTGACCTTGAACTAGCAGCGATCCTCCCGCCTCAGCCTCCCGAGTGCTGTGATTACAGGCGTGCGCCACCACGCCACCACCAGTTCCTGGTTTTGAGGGGCGTCACCGCCCTGACTTTTTGTAAATACTCAGGGTTGAAGGATAGTACAAAGAACAAGAATGTCATGCCGAGGAAGCGTTCGTGTGCAGCCCGGAAATCCCCGACACTGAAATAAAAACAAAAGGACCCAAAGGTCCTGGCTTCTGGGGTCACCTGGGCCCCACGTGCCGGGCTGCTGTGCCTGGGGGTCCCTGGGTCTCAGCTGCGTCACCCCTGCCTGGCTGCTGGCTGTGCCCGGCTTCTCCCTGCTGTCCCTGCACTGTCCCTGCCCGCAGCTCCGTGTCCTGCTTGCTGCTCCTGCCACCCGCCGCCCGCCGCCTGCCTCCTCCCAGCTCCTCTTTCACTGCCTTTCCCTTTGTCCGCCCCTTCCAGGTGCCCAGGAGACCTAGCTCATCTCAGAGTGATGTACCAGGCCCAGGAGCCTCTGGCCACCGCGGGTCCTCTCTAAGCCACAGCCTGAGCAGCCGCCTTGGGTCCCTCCCTCCCACCCACCTGCCTTCCTCCTTCCGCCCTCCCACCCTGCCTTCCCGCGCCCGGCCCTAGAGACAGGATTCTCCTTTCTACTTTCTGGATCTTGTTAAGAGGCAGTATCTACTAATTTGCCAGATGGCGCAGGCTGGACTTGAACTTGAGATCCTCCTGCTTCAGCCTCCCAAGAGGCGCTGGGATGGCGGGGGCCGTGCACACCACACACCTGGCTCGTTTTCCTTCTCCTGGATGGGAAGAATTCAGGAAGCTTCAAAAAACTAAGAGCCATGACATCGTTTCTGGGAGCCAGGGCCCAGCCCACGGTGGCCGAGCCACGTTTCGTACTAAGATCTGAACCCGGGGCTTTGTGTACACTTTACAACTTTCTGCTGTCTCCTCTTGAATTTTTTTTTTTCTTTTTTTTTTTTGTGTGTGTTTTTGAGATGGAGTCTCACTATGCAGTTCAGGCTGGCCTTGAGCTCATTGTGTAGCCCAGGCTGGTCTCGAACTCACGATCCTCCTGCCTCAGCCTCCCGAGTGCTGGGATTACAGATGTGTGCCACCATGGCTGGCCTTCTCATCTTGAATTTTTATGCCCCATTTCTCCCTGGGTTTCTCAGGGGCACCCTCTCCCTTTGTCTCCTGGGTTTATGCAGACAGTGCCAAACATGCGTGCCAGAAAGTGCAGACCGCACATTCTTCGGGGCAGGTGTCAACTCCGTGACCATCAGCCTTGAAGGTCACCGACAGTGCAGGTCACCCTTCAAGGGTTCGCAAGTGGATGGTGGGGTCTTGAGCTCAGGACATCTGTGTCCTTCTAGCCACACCTCCTCCATCCACTTGCGAACCCCTACATTGTGCCCGAAACCCCATCGCCTACCTATCTACCTGTATGTCTCCCGGCCGGCCAGCCAGAGTCAGAACCACTTTTCTATGTCTTCTTTTTTTTTTTTTGTCTTTTTGAGACAGGATCTCGGTATGCAGTCCAGCCTGGCTTTGAGCTCACTCTGTAGCCCAGGCTGGCCTCCAACTCAAGGTGATCCTCCTGCCTCAGCCTCCCGAGTGCTGGGCTGCAGGTGTGTGCTGCCACACCAAGTGGTCTTGCAAGTTTTGAGGCCCAAGCTGACATGAGTGGGGTGCGTGGTTCCTCACATGGAATCTGGGTGGGGTGTTGTTCTCCTCCTCAGGGGTCCCCTGTGTAGGAGCTTTTGTCCCCAATGGTTCGCTTAGTTACCAACATACTTGATTGTTTCCAGCAGATTCTTTTTCTTCTTTCAGCATTTTTACCCCTTAAATCTGGAGCTCATGCCCCAGTTAGAATATTTTTGCTTCTTTTTTTCCCTTTAGTGGAGAGAAATGCAAATTTAGAAGCTCCCCCGCTAGCGGCATAAGGGATCATCTTGGTCAACATGCTGACACATGTTTTTGGATTTTCCCTTTTTGGAGTATTTCTTTTTATCTCTCTACCTATCCATGCATCCACCCATCCATCCATCCATCTAGTTAAATGTCTAGTACTCCATGTATCTAGGTATCCATCCATCTGTCTATCCACCCACCCACCTATATTGTCTATCTATGTAATCTATCCATCCATCCATCTGTCCTTCTATCTATCCATCCATCCATCCATCCATCCATCCATTTGTGTAATCAGTCTATCCACCCATCCACCCAACTATCTATAGCCTCTATCTATTCATTCTATCTATGCATCCACCCATCTCTCTGTTCATCTGTTCATCTGTGTTTCTGTCACCTGTCTATTCACATATTCATCCATGGATCTGTCTCTCCTCTAAAAAATTGGCTTCCTAACGCATGTATCACTTAGTAGTTGGGGAAAGGCATTGCAGACCTTTGAATTCCTGTAATACTCAGTACAATGCTTTTTTCTCTTCCCATAATTAAAAGTTTACACTCTGTACCATGTGCCTTTCTTCACCAGGAATATTTTAACCACAAACATTGCAATTTTGGAAATCCTTAAGTGAGCGGGGCAGACCGCTTGCCCCATGGGATGAGCTTGCTGGTGCAGCGGGACGGGTCCCTTTCCTGCTGCAAGTGTGTAGCTCTTGTGGTCATTTGCAACGTTGCAGAAAAGAAATAAACATATTTTGTCTGTGAGCGTCCTGTGTGCTTTGAGTTTTGCTGGTGTACGCTGTAGGTGGGAAGAGAGTGTATCCCAAGGACACTGGGGAGGTGTCTCAGTGTTTTCTTCATTGCTGAGACAGACTAGCCGACACGCCGGGCTCAAAGGAGGCAGGGTTTATTTTGCTCAAGTTGCAGAGGGTGCAGTCCATGGTGGGTGCCCTGAGCAGAATCATCATGGCGGACGGGCATAGTGGAGGAGGAAACACGCCCACATCATGGCGGCCCAGAAGCCTACCGGAAGGAGGAGCCAGGAAGGGAGATAAGCACTTCCGGGTCAAATCCTCTGTGACCCGCCTCTTCCAATCAAGCGCCACCCGCTAACAGCAGGTCCCTGTAATCCCGCATCACCCACTGACCTTCCAGAGACCTCACCTAGGACTGCCTGAGCGTCAGGGCGACCACCACAGAGGGAATCGTGACATTTGCTGGGAGGCGTGTTTGAAAAAAACTAATACGAATTTGGCAGAGGGCAGGAGATAGAGTGCAGGGAAATGCAGGCGGGACCAGCGGGCAGGCTCGGTCCTGGGGTCGCCCTGGGCTGTGTGTCACAGTACTGTTAAGCAGCGAAGTGCTTGGTGGTTTGTGTCTTTGTCCTAATTCCGAACTCAGCGTTCTGGGGCCTGCTGAGGAGGAAGCCAGAGCCGGAGGGTCAACAGGGGGGCCGGGAAGGATGGTGCCCACTTGTCATCCCAGCACTGGGGAGGCTGAGGCAGGAGGATCGCCCTGAGTTGGCGGCCAGCCTGGGCTGCACAATAAGAGCCTTTCTCCTCCCTGTCTCCCCCCAAAAAGGAAAAAAAGAACATTAAGTTAGCGGTAGGCGTGGGAGACGCCTTGTTCCGGGCTCCGACCTTGGTCTTCTGAAATGCAGTGCGTTTATCCATGGTGGGTTTGGGGGATCCAAGCAGAGGACAGCGCCTGACTTCAGAAATGCGTGCACCTTAGTAACGTAGCAGGCCCCGGTGCGCGCGCTCGGGTTGAGTAACCTCTAGCCCATGCTTGCGCCCGGAAAAGCGTGGGGTTTGAGGTTATTGTTTTTCCACCTGGGGCTATTTTTTCTTGTTTTCAGCAGAGCAAAGCGAAGTTAACTTGGAAAGCTGTCGGACCACCAACGCGGAGCCTCCTGGTAAGACGCAAGGGAATGCTGGCTGTTGGGAGCCGCGATTATCATTATTATTTTTATTATTATTAATTATTGGTACCAGGGACTGAACCCAGGGCCTTTGCACTGAGATACATCCCCAGACCTTTTGTAAATTTTTTTTTTCTGTAGAGATGGTCACACGGTCGCCCAGGCTGGGCTGGAACGTTCCACCCTCCTGCCTCAGCCTCCCAGAGTGCTGGGACAACAGGCGTGCGTGCCAATCTTAGCTTCGGTGCTTGCAGGCATTCACTAAGACTCAACTGTGTATAATCGAGTCTTGAACTCTGCGCTGATTAAATTTCCACGTGATGCCCAGCCAGGCTGGCGCGCGTTAAGGTTTTAAAAATGTGCACTTTCGGAAATGCAGCCTGTCAACTTTTGATGTTTTCATTTTAAAGAGAATAAAAGTAATTTAAAAAACATTAGACACTATACAGAATTACACTAGACAGGATGGTAGGAATTCAGCAACAGTTGTTATATTGCGTATTGTTGTCTTCAAGTTAGTTGTTCCGATTACTAGATATAAGCATGCAAAATTGGTTCCAAAAAACAACTGAAAAGAAGAAAAAAAAGTAAGCATTGCTACCCAGACTACTTGAAATTACCAGCAAAACAAAACAAAGGTGTAGAGATGTGTGCATCTATATATCTGTGTATGTGGGGCCAGGGATATAGCTCTGCAGCACAAGCACCTGCCTGGCAAGTGCAAGGTCCTGAGTTCAAATCCCGGTACTGGAAAAAAAAAAAAAAAGAAATCTGTGTGTGTGTATGTGTGTGTGTGTGTGTGTGCATCTTTGTGTATGTTTTATCTACGACAAGGTTGGAACCCGCTCACCTGTGTGAGACAGGTGTCATTTACGGACCGGAGCTGCTGTGCAGTACAGATGCATTTTTTAATGAAATTTTGGAGTCATTTGAGTTCTAAACACAGCATTTTTACAAAGTTAGAGTCTGCAGACAGACACACTTCATTGCTTTCCTTTCCGTTTCCACCCTATCCTTTGTTTTTTTGTTTTTTTCCTGTCTAGCACAGGCTCGGAAACGTTCACCAGGTGTCTAAGATAAGCCCGCTAGTCTGAGATTCCTCCCCAATAAGGTGTATCCAGTTTCATCGGCAAATGACTCAATATTTTGAGGGTGTCCTCCCCAATAAGGTGTATCCAGTTTCATCGGCAAATGACTCAATATTTTGAGGGTGTCGTTGTTCTTTAAAAGACTTACCTGGAGCTGGGGATATAGGCCAGTGGCACCAGCACCTGTGTGGCAGGCACTGGGTCCTGAGTTCGAGTCCTGGTGCCAAAAAAAGAGTTTACCTAGCTTTTTTCTCTTGGTGTTGAAGGCAGTATTGTCCTGAATTTTCTTATTGAATTTTGTGTGTATGTGTGTGTAGGGGGCTGTTGCTTTTTGTTTTTAAGACAGGGTTTCACTGTGTAGTCCAGGCCGGCTTTGAACTCCCTATGCAGCTGAGGCTGGCGTCAGACTCATGGAGATCCTCCTGCCTCAGCCTCCCGAGTATGGAGGCCACAGGCGTACATTACCATGCACAGATTCCTAAGAATTGGGTAATAGTCTGACTTAGAAATGGGTAAACTCTGCTTTTTGTGGAGTCTGGAGCCTGCGGTGTGAGGAGGGAGGGTCGCCCGCCAGGGAAACTCTCGGAGCGTGTTGGGTAGACGTGAACCGTTTTCCCTTCTCTCTCTGCCTTCCGCACAGTGCAACAGACGCTTCTGGAGAAGTAGTGGGGGCGCCCCGAGCGGTCCAGCTGCCCGGTGGATCGCAGCAGAGCCGTGACGCCTGCCTCAGTTTCTCCACCAAGAACAGCTGCAGCATGGGGGGACAGAGCGCCGAGCGGCGAGATGCCCCGTCCTGGTCCTGGCCCCAGCCGTCCCCCGCTGACCCGGGACAGCGCCGTCGAGGGGCTCCTGGCCCAAGAAAGAGGAGCCGTGTCCACGTCCCACAAGGACTTTCCTTCTGTCCCGGTGTCCAAGGCCCGGGTCCCCTGGGCTCCGGGGGCTTCTGGGGTGCAGAAGGCTGAGCGTGATCCGGTCCCTGATGCGCAAGCAGCTGCCCCGTCACAGAACTCGCTCGGGCGGGACACGCGGGGCCAGGTGCAGCTTGGGGGCCCACGGAGACTGCACGGCTGACGCACCTGGAGGAGCAGCTCTCTGGGGCCGGGCGGCCGGACTCGGGGTGCCCTGTGTGTGCCTCTCCCTCCCTCTCTCCCTCGGGGCCCGGGGTGCTTTTTTCCATTTCAGACTAATAAAAAGAATCTGGAACCAAGTACGAACTCCGTACGAACGCATCTGGCTGCCCAAGGAAGTGTGGGGCGGGGAGGTTCGCTTGTCTCCGGCCACGTGGAGCGAGGTCAGCTTCTCCGCCCGGGCGCCTCCCCCGCCACCCACCTTCTCTGCACCCAGATTCTCTCTCCGCCCGGATAGTCCCGGCGTGCAGATCCTCCGTGAGTCCAGAAGCGCGCTGCTCCAAATGCCCCCAGTCCCGTGTGCTGCTCCGCATCTGAGCGCTCCTTTGCGTCAGATACTCTCCCACATTCAGGTGCTCCTCTGTATGGAGTTCGTCCGTGAACCCAGGTAATCGTCGGTGTCCCGATGCTCCTCCGCACATCTGTCCTCCTGTCCACGTGTCCCTCTGTGTTAGGACACGCCCTGCTTCCGGTACTGCCTTCCTCCAGATACTCTTCCGTACCCAGATACTCTTCTGCACCAGATACTCCCTTCCTTCAGATACTCCTCTGCATCTAGGTGCTCCCTGCTCCTAGATATTTCCTCCACTCAGATTCCCCCTGTATTTAGATACTCCATGCACTATGTACTCCTTGGACACGGGCATGTCCTCCTCCCAGCCAGATACTTGCCCCCATCAAGATACTTCCCCGCAGGGAGATACTCCTGAAACCAGATGCTCTCCCACATCCAGATACTCCTCGGTATCAAGATGGTCCCTGAGCCCAGAGGATTCTCTATCCAGATACTGCCCTGCACCTGTATAGTCTCAGCCCCATTCTCCTCTGCATCCAGACACTGCTTTCATCCAGGTACTCCTCTGGACTCAGGTGCTCTCTGCTACAGATACTGTTCTGCTCCAGGTACTCCCTTGTAGGTATTCCTCTGCATCTGGATACGTCCCATGCCCGGATCATCTCGTCCATCTAGATACGCCCTGCACCCAGATACTCCAAGGGTCTAGATACTCCTCTGTACCCGGATGCTTCCCTCTATCCAGAACCCAGATGCTCTCCCACATCCAGAAACGCCTCTGTGTGGGAGATGCTCCCTGAGTCCAGGTAGTTCTGAGTATCCAGATACTCCCGTGCACCAGGTAGCCCTGTCTGTAGGCACCGCTCCTCCCAGGTACTCTGCTGAGTATAGATGCTTCCCATGATGGTACCCTCACATCCTGACACCCTTGTTAAACTGGAGACTGACTGTAGCTAGAGGGGCGCCCCACGCTCCCCTGCGTCCTGGCGTGTTGCTGCGTGCACACACTCCGCCGCTGAGGGTGGGGGCTTCTGCACACCTAGCTACTCCTGGGCTCTAGGTCCTCCCCCGCCCAGGAACTCCCCTGTCTGCAGATACTTCCCCGAGGGCAGATGCTCCCTGAGCAAACGCAGATTTCCTTAGGCAGTTCCTGGATCGCGCGGAGGCTCGCCTGAGAGCACGCAATCTTTCCCGCCGTCCGTGACGACGTCTCCGTGTCTAGGAGCATTTCTTCATGGAGGGCAACCAACTCGTACACAAGGAGGATTCCAAAGCGAGGGGTTTTCTTTCTTTCTTTCTTTTTTGTTTTTTTGTTTTTCTTCCGGTACTGGGAATCGAACTCACGACCTTGCGCTTGCCAGGCAGGTGCTGTGCTGCTGAGCTGAATCCCCAGCCCTCTTTCTTCTTTTTTTAAGAGTTATTTTTACTAGTCCATTTTTGAAGAGTGTCCTGTTTACCTTCATTATGTGGAGTTGGTCCATGAACAAAGTACAGGTTGATTCCTTTTCTTCATCTCCTATCCCTCCCTTCCTCCATCTCTCCATCCCCTTCCCACTGGAGGAAGATCTATCTGCCTACTTCCTACTGTCTTTTACACTGTTCTTTATACTTTGTCATTGTCATACAAGGGAAACCATGCCATACTGAAGCTTGTGTCTCTGATTTATTTCAGTTAGCACCGTGGTCTCAAGGTGCATTAATTTTCCTGCAAATTTCTGAGGCTTATCCTTCTTCCTGGTTGTGTAGTACTCCATGGTGTGTACATTCCACATTTTCTTTATCCGTTCATCTGCTGGTAGGCAGAGAGGTGGCTTCCAAGATTTAGCTAGTATGAGTTACACACCTGTAATTATGGGTCATTTGCATATTCTCTAAAAGTGTGTGTGTGGGTTTGGGGGATATCTTGCAGGGGGAACAATATATAATATAGGACACATATTTTATAAGATTATTTATAATAGTCACCCAAAGGATGATATAGAAGAGAGTGCGGAAAATCTGTCCACACACTAAAGATCAGAGAATCTAGCCGAGGGCCTGGGTCCCATGGAAATGTCCTGCATGAGTCCAGCTGAGGACCCAGAGCTCATAACAATGCCTCCCATGAGTTCATCTGGAGGCCCAGAGCACACAAGGTCTCATGCAGGCCTCTTTCATGGATCTCTCTTCCAAGAGAACCAACAGCTCCTTACAGCTTCCACCAGCTCCCAACAGCCTCTCTCAGCTCCCAACAGCCTCCTTCTCCTTCTCCAGTTCTGCCTTTTATGCTGCTGGCAACAGTCCCCAGGCGGGCCTCCCACACCCAGCTCCATGTTACTCAGTCCAGCTGGGGGTTATAAGCTGACCACCAGTTGTCAATCCACTACAGTTTGGCTAGCGTTCTTAGATTTTTCTCATCCCGTAACAGGAGAGGACCTTCCACTTGCCATGCTTGAGTGTGTGTGTGTGTGTGAAATCTTTTAGTTGGAGATGCAGCCTTGCTAAGTTGCTAAATTGTCCAGCATAGGGACCCTCCTGCCTCAGCCTCCCAGAGCTCCATCTCCAGCCCTTTTTAACGTTTTGTTTTGACACAGGGTCTTACCCTAACCCTAACCCTAACCCTAACCCTAACCCTAACCCTAACCCTAAACTTGCACAGTTGTTCATGCTGGGCTCAAAGCTGCCATCCTCCTGCCTCAGCCTCCCAGAGTGCTAGAATGAAGGTCGCATCCTTTAGAAGAAACGTTTCTAAGAAGAATCCAAAACGAGCCACTGTTGCTACTCATTCTTTTTGAGGAGGGGAGGCCCAGGAAATGCCGGCCGCTCTCCTGAACTCTTGCTGGGGCCATTGGTGCGGAGCCATCGGATGCCGCCTGGAACTTTCTGCACGCCCACGATGACCCACTGCCGACCAGGACTCTGACGCCAGCCCCGGGACAGCCTTTGAGGGCTGATTCTGCACGCTGAATGACTTGGTCATGAGCTTTGGAAAGACACACAATTTTTTTTTTTCCCCTTTGTGGCATTCTGTGAACACCACTGGCAATGTTACAAGCACCAGAATGATCTGGATATAGACTGACTTGCTGATTCATACCTTAGTATCAGCATTCTTGGACGCTGAGGCAGGAGAATCCCAGGCTGGAGCCCAGCCTGCCCAATGCTGACTTAGCGAGAACCAATGTCAAAATAAAAAATAAATAAAAGAGCTGGGGGCAGAGCTCAGGGCAAAGACCCTCGGTCTGATTCTCCGTATTTTAAATATATATGCAAGCTCGGCATGGTAGCACACACCTGTAATCCGAGCATTGGGGAGGCTGAGGCAAGAGAATCTTTGCGAGTTCGAGACCAGCATGGGCTATAAAATGAGATCAAGGCGAGCCTGAACTGCAGAGTGAGACCATGTCTCCCTCACTGAGACAAAAGCAGAATGGCAAAAACATGAGTATGTTAAAAATGCATCAAAGTAAGACTTTTCCATAAATCTATGCTTTCAAAAAAACAAAAAAAAGGCAAATAAATAAATCTGTGCTTTCTAGAAATGTGTCAGTGTTAGGTAGGATTATTTTTCCTACAGAGAACTGGATGACCGTCTTTGTAGAAGGTACTTTCATTTTATACTGGCATCAAAATAAAAATGACTTTTTAAAAGCTGGAGTTTGAACGACGTGGCTCACCAGGTCATTAAATATGTTGGCAAAAACAAGCTTGTTGCGTCATTATTTTGGAAGTTCTCGTAAAGTAAAGGGCTCCAGGCTCTGGAAAATCAGGATAAAAGGTTTTTCAAGGGCAAATAACAAAATCATGAGACTTTGCAGGAAAATGGTCATGGAGACCCGTGCTAGGGTATGTTATGTGCATGTCTAAATGTGTCAACATGAACCTCATTATTCTACATACCTCACCTACGCTAACAAAATAAAGTGTTTCATTTAAAAGGTGGTGCATACCTGTCATCCCAGCCCCCTGGGAGGCTGAGGCAGGAGGATTGCTCAAGCCCAGCCTGGACAACTTAGTGACTTAGCAAGACCTCTTTGTCTCAAAATAAAAAATAAATCATGGGCTGGGGATGTCACTCAATGCAAAAACCCTGGATTTAATTCCTAGTACGAGGGAAAAAAGTCAATCCACAGCACTGCAAGTGATATTTTTACTTAGACTGCCTTCCTTGCAACTCTGAAAATCTTAGTTTTGAAAGGCAAATCTTTTTGTCTTCTGAGAGAGTTTGAGAACCTCGGTTAAACTGTCAGAGCCGTAGCATTTCTGGAAACCACTAAATGCAGCTTTTCTGTATTTCTGTATGTGTTAGTGGTCATTTCCTCACTGATTTGTAGCAACTCTTTACACACTGACTATAATTCCCTTTGAGGTGGGCGTGGAGGCGCATGCCTATAATCCTAGCACTGGGGAGGCTGAGGCAGGAGCCTCTTGAGTTCAAGGCCAGCCTGGGCTCCATAGTGAGACCCTGTCTCCCAGCGTAAGCAAAGACCAAAAGCAAAAAATCACAACTGACAAACAAGAAACCAAAAAACAGAAGGAAAGGAATTTCAAAAAAGAAAAAGTTGCCCTTTGATCTTAGCAAGGATGGGTCCACGGGAATGTTCAATTTATTGCGGTCTTTTGAATTTCTCATAATTTTCCCCTGTTCCACTTTTTATTGATTTTTACATAGGGAAATTATACGGTGATTTCCAAGCTTTCTGCTACCTTTAGAAAAGGTTTTCCACCCTGGAATCACTTTTAAAATACCTATTTTCTCAACCCTCGGTGGGTACTGTTTTGTCTTGTTTTGTTTTGTTTGTAGCACTTCGGGTAGAAACCAGAACCTTTGCACTGAACGTCCCCAGCCTTTTTGTTTTTTATTTTTTATTCTGAGACAGTGTAGGGGGCAATGAATCTTAGCATATTATTTTGGATAAAATAGTTTTGGTAAAAGCCTACATGGTGCCTTGGGAAGCCTCCCGGGACAGTGTAAGAGCTAATTCCCCAGATCAACACTGCCCACCAGGCCCCGTCTCCCCCTGGCTCCCATGTGTCCCGCGTGCACGCCTGGGCCATGTGTCTATTACTGTAAAGCACTTTTAATTTAGATCTTCACTGTATTTTCAACCACGCCTCACACATGATTTTTCACTGGCGTGCATGGTGAATTACTTCCACAACCCTCACAGATGCCAAGAACCCGTTAGGGAATGGCGACCATAAACGGTGTCCTCCCATGTTCAATACAGCTATGGTGCTTTTCAGAAAGTATTTTCCACCTGCAGCTGGTTGGGTCCATGGATGCTGAGGGCCAACTGTATTCTAGTTTGTCTTTGGAGTGCAGACTACCCATCAAATCAGAGTGGATACAAATCCACAAACACCGCTCCAGACCCGTAGCCTACGCTGATGACCCACAGGACGATGGATCTGTTGGATGATCGTGCAAAGCATTTGAAGCCATCCACCGCCACCATCTCTGATTGCTTCTCAGAGAAATAATGGTGCATGGAGGAAAACTTCCCTTCCGGGATGTAGCTACTGTCACCATGAGATGGCTGCTTCCTCTCCATGCTTCCTCCACCCCAGAGGAGCAAGTAAACTGTGGCTGGCGCCCACGACTGGAGGTTTGGGACTTGTATGAGAGATGGACAGATGTTCTCTTCCTGTAGAGTTGCAGGCTGCAAGGGCCAAGGGCAGGAGGGCAGGAGTCATATCAGCATCAGAGGGAAAGCGGGTGATGTCACAGGGACCATCTGAAGATACTCCAAGGCTTCCAGAATTCCAGCTCCTGCTGACAGCTGCCGTCTTGCTTTATAGGTGACTGTCTTCTTGCTGTGTCCTTAACTGGGACAGGTAGACAGAAACAGAGAAACAAAAGGTATTCTGGCCTCTGTTTACATGGATATTAATCCCAATATGGCAGACGCACCTTCAAGAGGATCCCTTCTCTGATGGTGCCCTGTGATGTGACAAGCTTGACTTGATTAAGAACAACCTAGCCATAAGAAAATTGTGGTACTTTTACAGAATGGAATATTACTCACCTATAAAGAAAGATAAACTCGAGGCCTTTATAGGTAAATGGTCACAACTAGAAACCATACTCATAAGTGAAATAAATCAAACATATATGTGCAAGCAGTGTAAAACTTGAAAGAGTTAATTTAAACTAGGAGGTATGATAGACATTGTGAAATGATAGGAAAACACTCAAGGGTAAAGGGCAACTGGGATGTGGGAAAAGAGAAGGGAAAGAAGGAGAAACTTTGTATGTATGTATATACAGGATAGTTAACATAGTTGATCTACTATCTTCTATTTCCCTGCTGAAAGAAACTGTCAAGGAGTCCTTGATGGATCAATATTGCATGTCTCTATCTGTTTTCATGAGAAATCACTTTGAAGATATCAACATGTAATACAACAACCATTGTTAATTTCCCACCACTTTGTCTGTAACTCTGTATAGTCTGTACTGTTCTTTTGCTATTTTGTAAAAGGTTGTCTATCTATTAATGTTTTCCTCCTTTTATTTCTAAAACAAAAAAAAGAACAACCTAGCCCATGAGCAAAGCTTGAGGTGGGTCTTTGGGTGATTGACAGGTAGGCCAGCCAACAGAGGGGGAAGTCCCACCCCGGAAGTGAGAGGTGCCAACCAATAGGCTTGTAGCCTGGATGGAATAATAAGAGGAAGAAGGAGGAAGTGCTTCCATTTCTTGGAGGAGCTGTGGGTTTTGGCCAGTGGCTTTGGTTATTGGCATGCAGCTCCTTCAGCCTTCCAAAGGAGACTTCAGCTTCCCAAAGTGGGCTTTTCGGGCTTCCAAGACAGATTCACATGGTGACTCTACAGAGAGCTTCCAGGCCTTCAACGTTGGGCTTCTCCTGGCTCCTCCACCTGTCCAGGGTGCAGGCGCCATTTTGGATTCTCCCACCTCTGATCCTGCGGAGGCCACTGGGACTCTCGCGCTTCTAACACTTTGAGTTTCCTCCTGACTCTGTTTGTACAGTTACGCATATTTTTGTATTGATTCTGTTCCTCTAGAAAACCCTAATACACCTCCTAACCCTAATCGCACCCGCTTAAAGACCCCCCTTCCGTGCACCATCACCCTGGGTGCTAGGTCTTCCAGGTGTGAATTTTGGGGCACATGCAGATTAGGTCCATAAGTACTGACAACGTGCATGGTGCCCCCAGATCTCAGACCGTCCTTCCTCTCTGTCACCCTAGATCTTCCTCAGCCTAGGCCATGGCTGCCTTCGTGTTCATGCAATCATCATGGATCCCCGCATTTTGCAGAACACCTCTGTGGGCTCAGCTGAATTCACGACCTGCCCGGAACCCTCTGGACCTAAATAGTGTGGGCCCCCCCCCTCCTATGGTAATACTGTGCGTTGTCTGGGTTCACGGCTCACATCTCTCTCTTGTGTCTGTAAACATCTTTTTTTTTTCACTGCTGTACACCTGGCATCCAGCATGGAAGGATCAGAACAGGTGTGCCTTGAATGTTTGTTGAATGACTGCATGAACTCACTCAATATGGCACACAGAAGTTGCAAAAGCTCTGGAGCTTACCAACCCGGGGGGCTCCTGGTGATCTCTAGTGTAGCTTCTTTGAGCGCCAAAGAGAACCAGGTGTTGTCCAATTCCCTTGCTCACCTGTCCTTCCTCAGAATATTTGTTTTACCGTCCACAGAGGTGAATGAAGCCTGCGGACCGTCAGCAGCTCTTGGAAGTCAGTGTGTCGGCTGCAGGTGCGGCTCCTCTCTTGGCAGCAGAGGGACGAGCCTGCGCGCGGCTCACACGCCCCACCTACAGGCTTCGCCCGGCTCGCTGCCAGCGGCTGGCGCGGGGTGGGGTGGCCGCAGCTCGCAGGCTGTCGGGACGGAGCGGCGGGCGATGGAGGCGCGGTGGGAGCTGCCCTGCCTCACGCTGCTGTGTCTCCTCACGCTCGCCCCAGGTAAGCGGGGTTCTGCTTTGGGGGGACAAAGCTGTGCGGCGGCTGTGGGATTCTCACTTGGGCTTTCCACAGATCCCTTCCGTCTGGGTGAATAGAAGCTCACGCCTGTGATCCCAGCACTCGGGAGGCTGAGGCAGGAGGATCACCAGGAGTTCCAGGCCAGCCTGGGCTACAAAGTGAGCTCCAGGCCAGTCCGAACGCCACAGCAAGACTCTGTCTCAAGAAACATAAAAACAAAACCCTTCCAGAGGAGCGTTCAGGAAGTCAGGGATTACAGCGTGCTGGATGGCTGGGCAGGGATACAGCACAGCACACACCCTGCTGTGGAGGGGGAGAAAAAATGTCATCGTTCGGGGTCTGGGATTCCCAAGGGAAAAGCATCAGCTAATTAGCACTTGGGAGCTGGGTTTTACAGGTTCGCTTTCTGCGCGCAGCACGCCCGTTTCCGTGTGGCTTGTTTTAACTCCGCGATGGAAGGATAACTTCTGGTTGAAGTGAGTTTTAAAAAGATTAGTTATTGGTCTATGATATTTAGGAACCAGAAAGAAAAGGAGAAAGAGTGTATTTGTGTGTGTGTGTGTGTGTGTGTGTGTGTGTGTGTGTGATACCAGGGATTGGACCCAAAGTGTTTGCACAGAGCTCCAAGCCCAGCCTTTGGCCTTTCTTGATTTTTTATTTTGATACAGGGTCACCAAATTGCCCAGGCTGGGTTCTAAGCTGCAATCCTCCTGTCTCAGCCTCTGGGAGTGCTGGGTTGATAGACATGAACCATCACGCTCAGCTCAGAAATTAGCTTGGAAATGTTTATGTCCAAATCGTAAAAGGGAAGGTAAAGCCCACTTTGGTTTTCTGGGATAGCAGTTGGGTTAAGAGGGCAGGCAGCCAGGTCCAGATTTTAACGCTTCTTGTAGACACTGTCATAGGTTTGTGCAAGTTAAAATCGGATGAATTGCTCAGGCCCAGTATGAAATGGCTGGCTGTGTGGCTGAGACTCTGGGATTGGGGCTTTTGTTTTGGTGAGGGGACCTACAGAAGGGCTGAAAATGTACTGGGTGAAGGGTAGGGTGTGTTCCGAGTGGAAGATGGCCTTTTGGTGGCTACCTTGTGACTCCGGACATGGCGAGATCCGGGTGAATTTCCAGAGCGTCAGGATGAAGAAGATTCCTTCAGATGCGTCCGTACCTGCTTTTCGGGTTTGTCCTGTCCGCCGAGCAGGAGCTTGTGAGGGAGCAGTTGGTTGTTTATGGGAAGGTGAGGTGTGTGGCTGGATCCTGATGTTCAGAGCTCGGAATCTGGTGGCCCTGTGATCTTGGCATCTTGCTTCTGCGTGGGCGAGGCGTGTAATCACGGAATTTTAAAAACTAAGGTTCACTTTTTTTTTTAGGACGGTTTTACATAGGCAGCAAAATTGAGCAGTGCGCACACACACTCCCGTGAATGCTCCGGCTTCTGCATCTGTAGCTTACATGGAGCAGCTTTGCTCATTTTGCAGACATTTCTCGTGAGAGCAAAACCTGCTAGGGGCTGGCCCTGGATGACGGAGGGGCGCTTGCAGCCAGGACACCTCCAGCGACCCCCCCCCGATGACATCAGGACTTTGGTTGAGGGATGATGACCGGGCACCCCGGCCGTCTCCTCTACCCTGGTGTCCGGAGTCTGCCAGGCGCCATGCAGAGGGCTGGGCTGAGGAGCTACTGGCGTCCGGTGCGTGGAGCCAGGGGTCGGGGTCATTGTCCTCAGCTCCCAGGAGGGCCCCGTCCAGAAAGGTTTCCCCGGCAGCGGTGTCATCCAGCTCAACTGCTGAGGCTTCCCAGGGAACGGTGGGAATTCTGCCTGGGTGTGAGACAGGTGTGAGAGGTGTGTCTATTGACGTGTCCATACGCTTAGCCCCTGTCTGCTGCATGTCATTGTCATCTGTCTGTCTGTGGTCAGTTCGTCATGTGTCCTGGTTCTGCCTACTTTCACCTGAGTGACTTGTCTGTCTGTCTATCATCTATCTATCATCTATTTCATTTGTCCTTCTATCTATCCGTTCTATTATCTCACCAATTTGTTTATTCTATGTATACCATCATGTATCTCTTCATCATCTGTATAGTTATCACCTATATATCTATACCATTTAGCCATCTATCTAGCTATCATCTATAGATTCTATGTCTGTTTTCTCTATTCATCTATTTACCTGTATAATCTATGAATCTATCACCTATGTATCTATATACAAAAGTAGCTATGTACCTGTCATCTTTCTATGTATCTTTACTAGTTATCTATCATCTATCTATCTATCATCTATCTATCTATCTACCTATCTAGATATCTATCTATATAGGTATCACCTATCTTCTATTTATCTATCATCTACCTATCTGGATATCACCATTCTATCACCTATCTGTCTTCTATTTTCTACTTAAGTCTATTTTTTATAATCTTTATCTGTTCATCTAGATATCATCAATCTACCCTACACCTATCTCTGTGTACCTGTCATCTATGATCTGTCTGCTAGATCTCTATGTACATATCATCATTCTACCTATCTATTCTGTATTATCTACCTACCTCCATCTGTCTATCATCATTATCTATCTATCTATCTGGGTATCATCAACCTATTACCAGATATTTTTGTCTCTCAATCAATGTATTCATGTATCTCTATTAGCTACATTTCATCTATCAATCAGTCAGGCTAGGAAGAGGCAACAGGGCATAGGCTTTTTATCTGCTGGTTATCAGGTTTCTCTCTGTCATACAGCATAACATATATGCTTCATCTGTCAGTCTGTCTGTCCACCAATTCTATATTCTCTGTATAATTCCATATTTTTTCATCCATCC